TTTTGCTCATTTGTTAAAATAACTACATTACTTAACACAGATTGTTTATTGATCGATGGATTTAATTTGATGATGTTGTCAGAATGTGTTTTAGTTTTTGTGTGCCTTTTCAAGTCCGTCAAATGTGCTCTCAAATATGTCTGGCAAACTTTACAGTATGCTTCAGCATTTACATCTGCTTGTGTTAACCAACCTATACATTTTTTACAACATTAGAAAACATTGTAGTCATAGTCAAGTGATTCATATTTATTTTTATTTATAAATAAATACACACCTTTTGCTCAAATCTCGGTTTCCCATGATTTGCGATATTTTCTAAGCTTTTCCGTTTTCCCCAAGGTTTGCGGCGCCACCGAACAAATTTTAGATTTAACGACAATTTCAATTTATTAGAATTTAAGACATAATCTATAAATCTTTCTATGAACTAAGATATCATATCCCCATGGATATATTAAAATATAGTTTCCCACCAATCGACCTGTTTGTAATCATTGAATCGTAGAAATGAAAAATGTATTCCAATAACAATATTTATGATATAAATAGAACACGAAAACCAAGGCTGTAGTAGTGTAGTCTATCTACAGCTGTGATAAAAACTGAACAACAATGTTTTTTTTTCCAATGTTTATTTGTTTGTGCTATTATCAGTGATATTTTTGTTATTGATAATTTTGCTTTGGAAATGGAAAATAACCCAATGTTTAGAAAAAATTTGGATTTTTTTGACAGACTTTTTTTTGACAAATTTGTTTAAAATATCGCCATTAAAAGAGCCAATCGCCAAATTAACAAAAAAATGTGCGCCAAACAATGATAAAAACGCCACTTTGGCGATAAATCGACACATCTGACAACACTGCCCGAACGAGTACTCGTCGCCGCCGTCGGCCGGTTGCGAATTTCGAATAGTAGGCGTGACTTAAACGCCGCGCTCTTGCGGATCGTGAAAACACCTAACAGCGCATCCTTTCGGTCGTTGCATGCGTACACGTTTCAATGACACGTCCTCTTAACCCTACAATGCATGATTTTTTTTTTTTTTTTTTTAATAAATTTTTTTATCATAATTATACCTACAAATGAACGGAAAAATATTTAAAAAAATATAAATCATTTTTTTACTTAGAAATAGATGAGATTATAGTTTGTTGCCATATGGCAACACTATGCATTTAAGGTACGCATTTTTTTAAAATATCATTTTTTTATTTTATTAATAAAAATAAGTAAATAAGTAAATAACAATAAACCTGTATTTGGTATAAATCAAATAAAATTAAAAATTACATCTTGTAAATCAAATAAAATTAAAAATTACATCTTGTAAATCAAATAAAATTAAAAATTACATCTTGTAAATAATCAAAATTTAAAAATTTAGAACCTTATATTATAATATAATAAACAGAAGCTACGTTGTATGCCACAGTGTAAAGCACTCTAACCCTTTTCCACAACACAAACTAACATTACACTTTCCACATTTTGAAAATGTAAATCCTTTGCAACCAGGTTTCTTGCACCTAGTTTTTTTTTGATTGGGAACTGGCCAATGGTCATATCTATCGGTCCTAATTTCTTTTGGCGGTGCCTTTTCTTTTTGTTTTGTACCTAATTTTCCTTTTTTTATTATACCTATTTCAATATCAGTTGATGGGCGTCCTCGTTTTGGCATATTATTTTCACCAAGTTTACACAAAGTTATGGCAAGTTGTTCTCTAAATTCCATTAATGGTAAAACATTATTGTTGTCTAATTTTTGATTTTGGATTCGTTTGTGTAACAGCCAAGAATTTACGATGGTGACGTCTAGTAAGTGATGAAATAATCGCATATACCACTTGCGACTTCGCATTTTAATTTTGTGCCTTCCAAGTAATCCATCCAGTAAGTCGACACCTCCCATGTGAGTATTGTATACTTTTATAATATGGGGACAATCCACTTCAACTCTTTTATTCATTTTCCTATCATATCTACTAACTTTCGTAACAGGCTCAATAGCAGCAAAAGTTGACAATAAATTTACATTTTTCGTGTCTTTCCATGTAATCGCGACTATATCTGTATTTCTAATATTAGTGACACAATGATCATATGTTCCTCTGGGTTTTTTTAGCATAGTTGAATCATCAAGCAACACTACATTCTTAAGCCTATTTCTTCGAACAGTACCTAGGGAGAGTATATTTTCTTTTTTCAAATAAACTAATAGTGGTAAGGTTGTGTAATAGTTATCAAAAAATAATTTATAATTTTGATGTTTTGGTATAACTCTTCCTAGACGAACTACTACATTAGCGCTGGAACCTAAATCTGGTTCATTTTTATTTCGTAGCTCCGAATTGTTTTCTTGGCCCGTAAAAAGTTCAAAATTATAAGCGAAACCGGAGGCACCACTAAGAACGAACAATTTATAGCCCCACTTATGTGGCTTGTTAGGCATATAAACTTTTACCGAGCTTCTAGCTTTGGTGCTACACATTTGCTCGTCAACAGCTAAATGTTCTTCTATTGGAACACGTCTAAAACTGTTTTTTAATGTTTCTATAAGAGGTCTTATTTTGTGAGTTCTATCACGATTTGGTCCACGTGTCTCAAGTGTATTATCATTAAAATGTAAATTACTTCTAATTTTTTCAAAAGTATTCAGGTTCATTGTGTCTTTGATAACATCATTGCCTAAGTATGGTGACCAATATTTTCTAACATTTGAAATATTTACTATACTCATTAGGACAAGTACCCCAATATATTTTTGTAAATCATTTGTAGACATTTTTAATGGATTAGATAAACTGTTTTGTAGACCATATTTATAAGTTTCATCACAAATATGTTGCATCAAGTCTACGGTAAAAAGATATTTAAAAATTTGATAAGGTGTCTCTAATTCCATAATATCTTCTGGTAAAGTCGAGTTTCCGAGAAAAGTAGTATCTACAGGTGGAAAATTATCTTTTGACCATGTAATTTCTTTTATTTCAATCGGAATATGATTTTGAATAATAGGTGGTACAGGATTATTACGTTTGGATCGATAACATTTGTTTTTGGAAAGTTTTGGTACTTTACGTGTTGTTTGTTGAACAGAAGATGTGGAGGGCAAAAATAAATCAGTGGTATTAGTTTCAATAGAAGTTTGAGGCTCGTCGTACACATGCTCGAAAATTGGAAGTTCAACTTTATCATCTAGAATTGTATCAACATTAAATTGTTCAGATACAAGTTTTTCAAATTTCTCAATATTTGTTTCGTCTAATAAATCCCCCCCATACTCATTCCATAAATCAACCTTTTCATTTTCAACGTCACTCTCAGTCTCAAACCCATCTTCCGACCCGGAAGGTATTTCAAGTAAATGAATAATTTCTTTGTCAACTAATTTTTTGTTCATGGTGGATATATAACTTAATAATTATATACCTTACAAGTTACAAGTTCTTCTGTAGTTCTCTGTTTTTCGTTGTTCGTTCAGGTAAAAAAAAAAACGTATGAAATGAATCAAAATAAAGTGATAACACAATATAAATGTGTTTACGTCGATAACCGTGGTTTACGTTTATTGAATGCATAGTGTTGCTGTCTGGCAACAAAGTCAAAAACAGGTATTTTACAAAATTGCGAATCGACAACTGTTCCACAACCAAACCATCGTGTCAATTACAGTGTCGCCAACATAAAAATATTTTTTTAAACGTTACTAGGTTAATATACTTTGATATTTCATCGTTTGAAGTGATATGTTTTATCAAAATATAAGTGATTTCTAAATATGTGTTGCACATTAACATTTATACGTAAAATAAAACAAGCATCTATATCAATTGTTCTACTTATATTTTAGTTTGATTGTTTACAACTTTTCAAAGATATTCATGCGTATATTATACTATTTACTATTTACGTATACTATTTTACATCAATACAAACAGATTGTTGCCAGTGGGCAACACTATGCATTGTAGGGTTAATAGGTAATACCAATATGTTGCTGTTTAGTCATTTAGATACTTAAAAAGCCCTCTCTGTATTTGTTTGATTGCCATTAACATAAAATATGAATGTGCATATAACACATTTGTATATCATAAGTCATATAACCTTATTACTAGGGACAAAATCTTTATTAACTTCACTGTCTTCACTACTGGAAGTTGACTGCAATAGTTCAGTAGAATCAGTTTGGAACAATTGATTAGTTGCATCTAAATACGTTTATAATTCAATTTAATATTTCTTTTACTATTTCAACATAGTGCATAAGTATATACAATTTATGTTGCTTACCCTTAGAGGCAAAGTCTTTATTTACTACACTATTGGAAGTGGACTGTAACGGTTCAGAGGATTCATTTTGAGTCATGTAAATAGTTGGATCTATAATAGTTTATAATTCAATATAAAATTACTTTTACTGTTAACACATACTGCTTAAGTATATACAATTTATGTTTCTTACCCTTAGAAGCAAAGTCTTTATTTACTACACTACCTGGAGTAGATTTTGATAGCGCTATTTGATTTGTTGGGTATAATGATGTAGATGCTGTATTATCAGATTCTTGAACGATTCTAGTTACTGCAGAAATTAGCGGAATTGGTAATGTAAATAGGGCTTCGGTTTTTTTTTCTTACTTACCTTTTATCAAAATTCCAAGCGAAAGTATGAGAGTGCGATCACCAATAATTCACTATTCACCATTCACGAAAGTTCACAATTCACAGTCCTCACAGACAAAATGTCGGGGTTCGGATGACTCGTAAAAGAATATAAGATAGGTAATAATATTGTTTAACAAGATACAACTACAATACTAGGTATACCATATTATTATTATTTAATATTTTTTACAGCCTAAAGGTAGGTTTACACGAGACGTGAGCCACGAGCGTATTTCACGATCGCGCAAGTTGTGACTCACGAGCGTGGTTTCAAAAAGCGCCTCACGAATCGTGAAGGTGTTTACACATGATTTTAGTTCAGTAAGATGGAGTCGTTAGTGGTGGAAGCATGTTCTATTTTGTCTGGTGTGTTGGCTCAACAATTGAACCAACGATTAACAGAAAGTGATAGATCTATGTTAAAAAGTAGAAAGAAAAGGAGATGGTGGGTAAGACAATGGATTCAAAAGCGTAAAAGTAATGGTGGTTCTATGTTTATTTCACGCGAATTACGAAATGAAAATCCGGAAGATTTCAAAAACATTTTAAGAATGTCAGATACACACTTTAACTATTTGTTGAATAAAATAAAATTCAAGATTCAAAAAATGGACACAACAATGAGGGAAGCTATTCCAGCAGATACTAAACTCAAATTAACACTTCGCTACTTAGCAACGGGTGATTCATTTAAAAGCCTGGAATATTTTTTTATAGTTCCTAAATGTACCATCAGTTTATTTCTACCTGAAGTTTGTTCTGAAATATACTCAGCTCTTGCAGAATTTATTGAAGTAAGTCAAAACAATTTTAAATTTTAAAATATACATATATATTTTTAGATTTAGTATTATAAACTTTTAACATAAATAGGTACTTAAATTGACAAATTAACAAAAATAAAAATAAATTTTAACTCATATTAAAAAAAAATAACGAATCCTTTCTTTTAGTTACTAATTAATATAAATAGGAATATTTAAAACAATTTATAGTTGTGTATTTGATAAGTCTGTAAGCACATAATCTTCGGTTTCTGATAACAGTTCATCAAACATAGCTGGAGATCCGAAATCACTTGTATCTGTACTAGTTCGAAGGCTAGAAGATCTTTGGAGTTCATGAATTGCATTTTGGTTATCATTTTCTATGATTTCATTAATAATCATGTTAGTCATCTTTTGTTGTAACAAGCATGATTTTTTAAGTGGTAGCTGGTCTCTTAATACTGATGCAATGTATTTTCCAAACTGATCAAAACTGTCTTCTCTTTTACTATTTTCAGCCAACTTTTGAGGTCTTTCAGCTATACCATCTAATTGTTTAACTGCAGCTAACACAGTGTCAGTCTCACTAGAACTCAACTTAAAAGTCTCAAATTTTCTTTTTTTCAAATTACAATCTCTTTTTTGTTGACTTTTAAAAAGTTTTCTTTTAATACCTGTAGTATTAGTATAATTTGCATTAGTACTTATATCAGGTTCTGTTAAGTTTGATTCTAGTTCATTGATACTGGCTTCTACTTGAGAACTATCATTTAAGTCATACATAGCTTGATTCTCTTGGTCAGTTTTTTCCATATCATTACTTTTGTTTTCATTTGATATCACCTGAAAATTGAATATTTTAAAATTTTAATTTTTTAGGTGCCAAAAACAAAAAATGAATGGGATGAAATAGAAAATGGTTTTCAAAAGAGATGGAATTTTCCGAGATGCATCGGAGCAATGGACGGGGAACACATCCTCATTAAAGCACCACCTAAAAGTGGATCAGAGTTTTACAACTATAAACACCAGTACAGTATTATATAATTGGCATTAATTGACCACAATTACTGTTTCACGTACATAGATGTTGGTGCAAATGGAAAGGCATCAGATGGTGGTGTATTTCAAGAAAGCTATTTTTTTGAAGCATTGGAAAACAATACTCTAAATACCCCAGACGATGTTGTTTTTGTAGCTGATGATGCTTTCCCGCTCAAGACTTATTTGATGAAGCCGTACAACAGAAGAAATTTAACAAGAGAACAAGCAATTTTCAACTATAGATTGTGCAGGGCTAGAAGAATATCAGAAAATGCTAGTGGTATACTTGTGAGCAAATTTAGAATTTTTGAAAGACCAATCCCATTGATACCTCACAAAGTCGATAAAATTGTTCTCGCTTGTTGTGCAATACATAATTGGTTACGAAAACAAGTCAAGCCTATTTACCACCGGGTCTTATTGATCACGAAGATTATAACTATGAGATCACAAATGGATCGTGGAGACAAAATCAAAGTTGCATCGTAAATTTTCAACCAGCAAATCACAGAAATGCATCTACAAATGCTAAGAAAATTAGAGATGACTATTGTGCATATTTCAACGGAGAGGGAGCTGTTCCTTGGCAATGGAAATTAATTAAATAAAGTCAACACATTTGATTTTCGAAATTAATTATTAAAATAAACATTATAATATTATACTTACATAATTTGAGCATGTATCCCTCATAGTCACATACGGTTTCAAAAATGAGTTCATTTTGGTAAACCAAACTACATGTGGTATATAAACATCTTTTGAAGATGTTCCAGATTTTTTACTAGTTGCAATTTTTTTCAGTTCTTGGCAATATGAACTTCTTAAATTTTTTAATTTACTTATAACGTGATCACGTCAAAAACCTTAAAAATTACATTATTTCCTTTAGTTGAACTAGATGTATCAAGTAAATACAGACATAATCAAATAAAAATAACAAACCTTCAATATTCATGCCTAATACTATTATTTTCACAGCTTCGCCTCTAGCATATCTATTTCTGTAAGATTGTAATTTAGTGTTCCATAGAACTTATTCTTTTTCATAACAGTCAATAAAATGCATTGTTTGTTCGTCATTCATTTTCATAACGTTTTTATTTACACTCATGTTGTTGATATGATAATTAAATAATAAATGTATTATAATTAAATAACTTTCAATTGCGTAAAGTAATTAAGGTTATAACAAGTACCTACTTTTAGTCAAAATGTTATAAAAAGATGTACACAATACGTCATAATCAGACAAACAGTACATAACGATTGAGCTTTCACGACTGAAATATCTAACATGGTTTGATATTCCACGAGCCAGTCGTGACAGGTTCGTGGACGATAATACCACGATCGTGAAGTACGAATTGTCTGTTTACACAAACCATGAGCCACGCTTCTTAAGACTACGATCGTGGCTCACGTCTCGTGTAAACCTACCTTAAGCATGTCTGTGAAATTATAAATGCTATCGATATTCTTTATTCGTTGGCAGTTGATTGCAGCCGATGCGCGACAGCGGCGACGTGACAGTCGGCGGTAACCATAGTAATATGGAAAAACCAGTAAACTCATAACGTGATTCGTGAATCATGAAATATACTTTACACATCCACCGGCACGGACGCACTGTGTTATACGAACACCGCTGCATCTTTTATGCATCAAATTATTATTTTAAAATAGATGTACCAAATTATATTATATACTCCGGGAGGAATAAGAACGTACTCGGGGGGCAGATCAAAACAGGTTTGCTGCGCGCAGGTCATAGTTATGACTATAACTATATGTTTATAACTATGACAAGGTTGCGGATGGGAAACCGGTCGCCGCCTGCGCAACGAGTTACGTTATTATTCCGCCCGAAGTATAGTTATATCAGTTGACTGCATAGGTGATATTTTAGTTTTTAACTTGGAGGGGCTTTATGTATTTAAATGAAACAGACCTGTGGGGAGCTCTGACCTATAGGTGGTGATTAGGGGGTGCTGTGGCCTGGGGAGGCTTCAGACCTGCCCCCCCCCAAATTATTGAACATACATTACTATATCGACTATATTCTAGACAAATTTAAATATTATCAGAAATGTATAGTAATTACCAATTTGACATTTGTAGTACTATTATTAAACTTGTATGTATGCCACGTGGATGATCCGATATCTACACACGAATAACGAATCGTTGATTAAGCATTAATTAAATCATTTCTTCAATCAACGTTTATTGTATTATTTAGATAAATTAGATAATTAATGTAGGATTTAATACTTCAATTAAAATAAAAAATTTGGAGGGTCTAATTTTAATATTGGAGGGGTTAAGCACCACCAAGCCCCCCCCCAGATTTCACCTATGGTTGACTGTGGTAACAGACACCAGCGCGCAATGTGAACACTGTACTTCTATTCGCTGACACACTTTTAGATCACCTTGTTAATATTGCACTGTAGTAGGTACCATATTAGCACATACAAATATAATACAAATTATCTATAGAACACCTTCACACATTATATGCACGGTAAACGTGTGCACTGTTGCATCCTCAAGACATATTACATAGTTTGAACTGATGCACCATATATGAACCGATTATTGTTTGAAAAGTAATTATTATAACCGATAAACAAAATGTGCACCGTACACGAGGTTTTGAGCACGCTTGTACCGTGTGTGCACTGTGCTATTGATACTGTGCAAAATATACTACCTAACCGACAATGAACCTACTAATTGTTACTCGGGCGGTGTCGTGACGGTCCGTGTTAATATCATTATAATAGGCAAGATGATCCCTTATATAACAATAATAACAATATTACTATAGTCGATATTGTTACAGTCCCAAGACTATATCATTCCAATATTATGTCGCTGTTATAATTAAGTTATATGCCGGTCATTGGAAATTGGCAATATGTCGGTCTGATATGAATGATTACGAGCCAGACTTTATTGTACGGTATTGTACTGTACTGTAAATACGTATACAATACGTTATTACTCGTATGTCGTATGCAAAATATGCACATATACGCATTATGATGATTTTTTTTTTGTGACAGTTTGTCCACACACTTATACAAACACCATGTACTGTCTGCACATTATTTCAGGAATAAGTCCACCTGGTTAAATAACGATGAAGCCTATGTGTCGATTTTCATTGCTACGTCCCGGAGGTATTGTCATGGAGTCTGCGTGGACGTGGCGCTGTCTGCCGAGTTCATTATGCCGGGTGGTCGATGGACGACATTGGATTGCGACACTGCGATCAACAATATACGGTCCAGTAGCCGTATCCGATGGTGCGGCGATGTTTTTCCGGTATTTTAAGTTAATTACTACCTGTGCATGAATGCCTGAGGTGCCTGTGATAGAATTATATTAAACCTCTTATCCATCGATTCGAATTGTATGTCGCAGCTTACCATTCACCGATGCGTTTAATTTACAACGTGAATATACATCGAATATATAATATGTTTAACTTGATCGTTTGATCAAACAAATATTTCTGTGGAACATGGAGTGACCAGATAATTAAGCAGACTCTGATGAAGTCATCAAAAATAAAAGGAGGATTCACGCATGGAAGAAGTACTAACGGAAGCGTATTAAATAAATGGGTTTTTTTTGCTTCTGACTGTGAGTAACATTTCTGAATCCCTTGAAAAATGTTGCCAAATTTCTTTTCAGTCTGGAGAACAACACGTAGACGCAAGGGTGTCTCGCATTAAAAGATTTAATGAAGATGTTCAAAAACTTTTACAGTGGTTAGATGAGAAAATTAATGGTCACGTTGCTAATAGGATTGGTAATATTGCCAAACATTTTTCGATATTAAATTTTCGCGAGCTGATCGAGTACTTCCACTTTTAAGCGTTAACAGTAAAGTTAAAGTTCACAACAAAACAGTGCCGATCGATCCGTTATTATTGTTTCAAAGAATTTGTGTTATGAAAAGATCAAATGAGGAGCTCCGAAATTATTTAGCTTATGAGTTGGCTCCGTTTCCAGTATCACTCTTTGATGAAAAAGGAATGTGGAAAACAAATAAATCAGCATTGTACGGCAGTTTCAAATCACTCACGCCTGAACAAGAGCAAGATTTACATTTCGAAAATGGCACATACGTGTTTGATGGATGATTTTTGTTATACCGCGTGGTGTGGCATCAAAATGAAACTTTTGAAGCTATTTGCACAGCATATATTAATTATGTGAGTAAACACTTTGGATCGAACTGTGTAATAGTTTTTGATGGTTACTGTAATCCCAGAAACAGCGTAAAAACAATGGAGCAATCACGCAGAGCAACAAAAACTTGATATCTCCTGATATTAATTTCGAAGACATCATGATTTGCACAGTAAGCCAAGAGAACTTGCTTTCTAATAGAAATAATAAAATCAGGCTGATTTCGATTGAATAATTTTATCGTCAAACAAGCTACCGATGATGCTGATGTTTTAATTATCGAAACAGCGATTAATGAGTCCGTGAATAATATCACAATTGTAGTTGGGGAAGACGTGGATCTCCTTGTGATTTTAACTGCTCGTGCCCTAACGACACAAGACATTTTCTTCCTCAAACCAGGTAAAAAAAATGTTGAAAGGAAACTATATTCATCTCAAAGCTTTGATCAACATCATCTTATTCGAGATAAAATGTTATTTCTCCATGCTTTCTCGGGCTGTGACACGGCATCTGCTCTTTCCCACAAAGGCAAATCATCAGCCTTAAAACTAATGACAAAACGAGAAGACCTACGACTTGCAACTCAGGTATTTAATTCACAAAATGTTTTGAGGGAAAAATTGATTGAAAATGGTATCAAATTTATACTTGGTATTTATGGAGCATCCATCAACGAAACTTCTCTTAACGAGTACAGATACTCGAGTTTTATTAAATCTTTGAGTAAAAATAAGCCAGTAAAATTATATCTACTTCCACCGACTGCTGATGCTGCTGAGATGCACCTGTCACGTGTTTACTACCAGGTTCAGAAATGGTTTTGTAATGATTTAAATCCCACAGATTGTGGTTGGATTTTAAGGGAAGGTGTCTTAACGCCAAGGAGAATGTTGCAGCTCCCTGCACCAGATTGCCTACTTAATATGATTTTGCGCAGTTTGCGCTAGCTGTGACGGACAATCATGCTACAATTCACCCCCACTTGAAAGTAAGGTCGAGGAGAATGATAATTCCAATAATAGTTCTATTTACACCAAAGATGTCATGGAGCAGGTAACTGAAGAAATTGAAACACCAGAAAATGTCTATTATAGCGACGGATATGAGATAGAGGAAGAAGAAGAAATCTAACTCAAATTTTTTTATTTCAATCCGTGATAGTTTTGTAGTGGTGGAATAGGCCTACTAGGGATACCACGTAAAAAAAATGCGCCTAATACTCAACCTCCGTATGTGGTATGGAATAGAGTAAAAATAATGTACTATAAATATCAACGACGATTTTCATAAATATCTATCTCGAAAAAAAGTTCTTTTCAATACTAATTTTTTTTTGAAACCTTTTGATTGTAGGCTTAATGACTTTGGATACTTTTTTATAGATAATTTACTCAGCTTTAATTTAGTATATAGGTATTTTAGTTTTTCAGTTGACATTTTAAGAGGTATTAGTGAAAAACTGATTTTTGAGCAATTTTCACCCCTTAAAACCACCCTTTAAAGTTTAGCACATGCGTTATCACTGGGGACTTTTAGGAGAATAATCAGGGCCCTAAACTATAACGAAAAACCAATGAAAACCTTTTGTTTGATTTATTCCAAATAAAAACTCTAACTGCTGTGGACTAATCTTGAAGAGACGTTAAGTCAAAAATCAAAATACAACAGTATTAACCTCGACCATTGACAGTCAGCGTAAGTGGGTTACAGTGTCAAACACGGCAGAGCCAAGCAGCGTCAATCAGATTATTAAGTATAATATGCACGGTACAAACATATATATCATATGGATATTACTGTAAGTAATTAATTGTCTCTGTTTATTTGTATATAAATAAACACATATGTATATATATGTTTATATATATGCATATACACTACATATAATATTTTTTTTTTCTTTTTAAATTTTTATATTAAGTCATATACAATATATAAGATTTGCACGTCAACAAATACGAGTAGTAGTGACGATAGCAGTTCCGATTATCCTGAGCTAGATCCTGAATATATTCCACCCTATAACGTAAGAACAAGTTCACTCGAAATTTCCAGTAGGGTAACGAGATCTAAAACACAAAACTTACGTAGGCGTTCCAATAGCCTAAGTTCCATAATTTCTTTAATTAATTTAGAAGATAATACTTATATTTTAAAACCAGAAGTCATAATGCCGCCAGTAGCTCTATCTTTCGAAACCGCCATAAATCTTATACCCAAATTTAAAGGGGAGTGTGCACAAGAAGTGTACCCATTTTTAAGTACACGTGACTTCGTAATAAAAACAGTTAGTGAAGACTGTCGTCCCGTACTCCTACAGGCTATTTTAACTAAACTAGCAGGAAAAGCTTTCGCAGCGACACAACACCGAGATGTGAAGTCATGGGAAGCATTGAGAGGATTGTTGGAAGTAACATTTTGTGCGAAGAGGACTCCAGGATATTTAAAATTGGAATTAACCACAACTAAACATAAAGCTGGAGAAACAGTTCAAGAATACTTCTCAAGGGTTGTAGCACTTTTACACGAACTGTACAATTTCAGCACTGCCAAAAGGTCTCCAACAGACGCCAAAGCAGTTCATGAATATATAAAAGAGACCACCCTAACTAAATATGTGGAGGGCCTACCATCCTCTATTCGTGGAGTGATAAAATCAAAAAATCACACGTCGTTGGAAGAAGCAATCAAAGACAGCTTAGAAGAAGACAGAATATACCAATCCAATAAAGGGACACAACGTTTATTATATAACAAATACAATAACAACAGTAGCAACAAATATTGTAAAAACTGTAAAAAAAACTAATCATAGCACTAGTGAATGCAAATATGCCAATGGATACAGGTCAACAAAGCAAGCAAAACAAGGATAAAAATAATAAAACTATAGATAACAAGCGACCAACATGTGATGAGATTGCAAGAAAACTGGGCACACTCTAGAACAGTGATGGGCAAAGTACGGCCAGCGAAAGAATTTCATCGGGATAGTCCAATTGCACTTATTACCTAAACAGAAATGGTCGATTTGCACTTGGGTTCAAAAAAGGTAATTTTTGAACTGCACTTGTTTAAAAAGCAGGTAATGGTCGAACTGCACTCATTCAAAAAAAGGAGTTAAAATTTAAGTTCACTATATTATGGAAGTTCATTATTACGTTTATTATTATAAATAATAATAATATTTGACTATTTTCAAAAATAAAAAAAAATATGTAAATATATTATTACTACAAAAATTATTAAAATTAGTTTAAAAAAAAGTTATAACAATGACAATAATAATATTTGATGATTTAATATATGTATATTGTATAATATTATATTAACATAATGGACAGTATGGTATTTATGTATATAAGTACGCCAATGATTAAAATCATTGTCAGTTCTAAGCCTGTAAATGGGAAGGGAAATTAGTGTTTTATAAACGTTTAATCCTTTCGAATGTTGATATTTCGGTTGTAACTTGTAATAACTTTTTTGAGGCCAAGTGCAGTTTTACCACAACCTGCTTTTTACCCGAGTGCAGTTCGACCATTACCTTCTTTAAACCCAAGTGCAGTTTGACTAAAATAAGTGCAATTCGACCATACCCAATTTCATCCGGTCCATCGACACGAAGGCACACACGAATTGCGTACCAAAACAGGTAAACGAACCTTTTTGAACGAATTATTTCCCGGACGCAATTCATGTTACCTTTTTATCTACAGGTGAGTGGTTCTTAAAGTGAAAACATAATATCATATATAATAAATCGTCGTATATTCACATATTTTTAAAAAATTTAAATTGTAAAATCATAATATCATAGGTTTTAAGTCATTGGTTAATATCACAAGTATTAATTTAATTTTGTCTGTATTTATATTTATTGGCTAATGTAGGAATTAACATAATCTTTAATTGTGATTTCATTATTAAATTGATTTATTTTATTTTCTATACATTGTATTCTTTCCCTTATTGGTTTTCTTGGTACTCGTCGTTTTTATAGACTACTTCTTATCAATATTGTTGTATCGGTTTGCATATTTTCATCAAGAAAACAACATCCTCCTGTGATGGCTGGGTGGTGGGGTGGGCCCGACTGATACTGACTAAGCTATAATTGAAATGGTTTTCGCCATAATTTAAAAAAAAAAACAAGAAGAAGGTATAACTTTATAATTCTTAACATGGAATTCCATCTCTGAACATTAGCTAACCTTTTTATAAGTAAAAGATTGGGATTAATAATAAACCGTTCAATGACAGTAAATCAGCACCATTTAAACTGAATAATATCTATTATTTTTTATTTTTAGATGATATTGTAGATGAATTTTACATTCAGATGACGATGACATTAATCCCTTACCATTGCAACAAATACCGCATCCAGTACAAATAAACGAACCAAACAAATAGTAGTTATATTATATTACTAGTAGTAGTATATATAGTTTTGGGTTGGTAAAAAATTAAGTACCTACGCTAGCTTAAAACAAACAAGTTAACTTTTTTTAACTTAAAAAAAAGTTAACAAATATGCATTTACTTTAAATTAGCTGAGTTAACCTATAGTTAAATTACATTTTGGTTATTGGTGAATATTGACACTTAACTGAGTTAAAAAAAATCATTAACTTGCCCAGCCTTGCTATTTTTATTATTTTATTGCATATTATTATAATTTTACACTTTATTGTAGAACTGAATAAATATTAAATAATAAATAACAATAAATATTTTAAATGTATTATGAATTTGTTGAGATAAATTAAAAATTAAAATATAAGGCAATGAAATAGGACAAATAGGTAGTAAATACTAAATACTAAATACTATTTTATTGCATATTACATTTTACTAATTAATAGGTATATTATATTATAGACCTCAATAAATAATAAACATTAAACATTTAATAGTTAAACTAATGAGTAATGAGTATTTTAAGTAGTCTTACAAGTATGCTAGACGTAAATTGAATATTATACTACTTTACTTTTAAACTTTTTAGTTATTAAAAAAAAATAATATTCCTAAGAATATTTATAAAAACTGAAGCACATCTAATAACTAATGTGTAGATATTAAGAAAACAAAAAATGGATAAAACTAAATCAATTCATAAATATTACAGTTCTGTCAGTAATATTCTAAATAATGTCAATCTCAGTAACATGACAATATTTTTGATTAAGATAAACTGAATATTTGTTATTTAATATTTTTAGTTCACCATGTCCAATCAACGTGTGTCTTTTGATGTGTCCGATGAGGAATTGGATACATCAGTTGCATCAACATCGACTAGTAATACTATGTATCCAGTATTTGGTCAGTTAACAGAAAATCCAACCATAGTTAATATTGTAAATAAACGTCAAAAAGGTGTTATTTGGAAGTTTTTTACATTAGGCGATAAAGATGAATCTGGTGTTGAAAGAGGTAAATGTTTAGAGTATGGAGTGCAAATAAAAAGAAAATGTAATCAAACAAAATCTATGATAAATCATTTAAAAATGCATAAAAATGTATTTGATACATTTAATGATATGAATAACTTAACAAAAACTGAAAATGATTCCAAAAAAATGAAAATGTCTCAACCAACAATGCCACAAGTTGTAAACCTAACAAAAGCATGGGTGAAAACAAATCCAAATGTAAAGGCACTTAATGATAGTGTATCAAGGTTCATCATTCGAGGCTGCCATGCCTATTCTATTGTCCAGGAGCCTGCATTTTTGGAACTTATGAAAAAAGCTGAACCAAGGTATATTGTTCCATCGAGGAAATATTTTTCTCAGTATCATATACCGAATGCTTTTGAAAAATCTGTTGATCATGTTAAAAGTATCATTGATAATGAATGTAAAAGTGCTAAATCCTTGTCATTCACAACAGATGGATGGACTTCTCGTTCAAATGAAAGTTACATATCTTTAACAGTCCATTATGGCACTGAAGAATGGAAACTTCGTCATATTACACTAAATCTCGAACATTACAAACATCAACATACTGCAGTGAACCTAAATAATCTTATAGTAAGATTAATTGAAAAATTGTCATTTTGTAAGGATATACCTATGTATTTTATAACTGACAACGCACCTAACCTTGTAGCAGCATTAAGAAAAGTTCCTGATGGATATACTTGGCAACATTTAAGATGTGTAGCGCACTCATTGCAACTTGAAATAGTCGATGCCAAAAAAAATACATCTGACTTAGATATACTTTTAGTAGCTTGTAGGTCCATTGTTGGTCATTACAAGCGAAGTTCAACGACTAAGGCCAGGCTTTTCGAACTTCAAAAAAAAGAAAATATGTCTCCGCCATTGATGCTCATCCAAAATGTTAAGACTCGTTGGAACTCTGAGTATTTAATGCTTCAACGGATTTATGAATTGAAAAGATTTATTTCGGCTGATTTGATTAAGTCTAATAGTACAATTGATAATTTAACAAGGGATCAATATTCAACAATTGAAGGTTTGTTGTGTGTACTAAAACCGTTATACAAGGCTACAAATGATTTATGTAGCTCTTCCTTCCCCACAGCAGTGAGCATTATTTTTTATTTGCATTATATTATTGAAACCTTAAGAGAACTACATCAAAATCACTCAAACTTAAAGGTTCACACATTTGCATCTAAAGTAAGCATTGGTAAAACTTCACATTTTCCTTCATTTAAAGAAAATACAACTTTATTATTATGTATGGTAGTTGATCCACGTCTAAAAGCTTATTTTTTGAATGAACATCAAGTACAAAATTTGAAAACCACTATGAAAAACGAAATTATTAAATATCAGTTACCTTTAGAAGCAATTAGTATAAACACTATTCCTGAAGTAAACACTGATGAAAATGATATGTGGTCAATGGTTGGAGAATGGAGTACAGAAACACTACCTCAAACAAATAATGAAAATAATGATTTAATTATTGAAAAAGAAATAGAAAATTGCATGCAGGATCCTAAGGAACCGAAAAAAACCAATAGTTTTCAATTTTGGAAGGATGTTGGTCAAATAAAATACCCATATATTAAATGTCTAGCTCTTCAACACCTAGCAATTCCAGCCACTCAAGTTACTAGTGAGAGATTATTTTCATCGGCTGGCCAAATTGTATCAGACAGAAGGACATTGCTATTACCTGAGCATGTTGAACAATTATTATTTCTAAAAGATTACTATAAATATATATTGGAAATGGAAGACATAGAGGAAGGTTCAAAACAAGAAGTGGAATAATTAATAATTAATATTAATTATTATTTTTTATTTAATAATTAATATACTCTAATACTCTATACTCCCATCATTCATATGCTATTATTATATATTATAAATTATAATTATTCACTATTCAGGTTTGTTTAAATGTTTGTTACAGTTTTAACTTTTAACTGATTTGAACAACATTAATTTAACAACTAACGTGAATACTTAATAGTATACCACTAACTAGTAACTATACTTATATACTATTTTTGATATATTTTTAATTTGTTTATATGTATTTAGATTTTACTCTATTTACTATTTGGTATTATATACTATTATACGTTTTAGCACTGTAAAAATATTAAAAATACATAGGCACAGTTTTTTTTTATAAGCATTTAAAGATCAAATTTGGACAGAATTTATTAAAATCTCGAAAATTATCAATCATTGTAATTAATAAATTATAAAATGTTCAGTTTTTATAGCTAAGGATTGAAAATTTAAAACAAGATTCCATGTAAGTAGTTTATTCTGTTACCAAAAAATCTAAAAAATACACAAGCACAGTTTATTTTTACAGTCATTTTAAGTTCAAATTTGGACGAAATTACATATTAAAAAACCTAGCATACCTATTTTAGTTATTTTGTTGTGATTAGAAATAATATCATTCGTGGGTACTTGAAACTTCTAAAGTACACTATTATATATCTATGATAGTATCAGGGTTTGTTATTGATGTATAACGTGCTATAAGTACCTAATGGATATTGTGATATGATTAATTTGGAATTTATTATAGGTCAATTTTTTTTTAATACCATAGATATGTATATAATATGTCTTAAACCTAGACTGACATACTGTCTTCGCTCAGAATCGTTTTTCTTATACAATGATATTGTATCATTGAATTCAAATTTAATACCATCCATTATACAGTGACCCACTTGTAACCTACAGTACAGCAGAGCGACATCCACTTGCCCACCTTTTTTTCATTGGGTACCAAATAATAATATAATAATATATCTTAAGGCGGGATCCCACGACTCGTGTATTTGACGAATATTTGGTATTCGTGGATACTCGCCAAGTAGTGGGAATGGAGTACTTGTACGAATACTCGGTATTCGGTATTCGTTATTCGTTATTCGCCACCTTCCCATCGATTGTCGGTAAAAGTGACACGAGTCAAAGAGAATTTAATTACCAAAATAGATGTTCGTTGGTACATTCCCACGACACGACGAATATTTGCCATTCGGTTGTTTTTTGTTATCACTTATCAGTTATCAGCCATATTATCAAATTAATTAATTGTAATTTGGTACTTTGTTAACAGTCATAAGCATAACTCATAAAAATAATATTATAGGTACTAATTTAATTTCAACAGTCAACTTGAATGATTCGACGTTTTTTATATTTTATTAGGTGATCAACAGTTTTAAAATATAAATAATATAATACTACCTGTAAAATAAAAATGTGTAGTATAATGGAATGGTCAAATGAAATGAGTCTAGAGTTTTTGAAGCTGTATGAACAAGAGCCATCGATTTGGAACCCTAAAAATCCAGATCACAAAAACCGTAATTTGGTTAATGACGCATGGGTAAGGATAAACAACACACTCAGTTTTTCATCCACTATTCAAGAGCTTAAAAAAAAAAAAGACTCTTTGATGGCTAGTTTTAGACCATTATTGAGCAAGGTGAAAAGTAGCATGAAAACAGGAAGTGGCGCAGATGATGTTTATAAGCCTAACTGGTTTGCTTTTGAAACAATGGCCAAATTCTTGGTTAGTGTATATCAGCCAAGACCTACAATAAGTACACAAGTAAGCTTTATTATAATATCTTATTACTATTACATACATAAGCATGTACAGGCATTAGTACAGACACAGACCTACATTACTACCCCAGTATAAATATTCACGTTTAAACTAAATTACAAGTACCTATACATTTCAGTTCTGACAACTAAAGAGTTGGCAAAAGGGTAACATTTTTCCTCGCATTTTTCAAACCACTGGGGGATATGCACTTACTAAATTCAAACTACATAAGATATTCACATACAATTGGACCTACCTGCCTATGATACAATTGTTACCTACTATAATATTAGTCAGTATAGTCACACTCTCATACCAAGCATATACATACATTTATATACTTACCCATTTTACACAATTACTTGGTTCCTAAGACTAAAACCCTAAAAGTTTTGTTTTTCATTTAATTACATTTTTTGGTCACTTAGGTACTCTGGTACTCATGAGTAAAATAAATATGTTTACTTGAATAATCAGAAATAATTTGTGCAAATAGTAAATAAATATATTAAGGTAATTATAGTGAAACATTATGTAGTTATATTATACTATGTTACTATAGTGTAATAATTAATAATGTTCCAATTTCATGTTACAAATACAAATAGAGGTACAAACAAAAACTAGATAAAACTATTCTTAACTAATAAAAATGCTTTGAATGTAAATAGATATATAGGTATTGATCTAAATTTTATGTAGATAAGTAAGGTAGGTAGTTATACAATTAAGTACAATATATTCTAGAAAAAAAATTGTATTTTATAAAAAATGATTGTCAATTTTAGATTGTAAATGTATAGTGTATTTTTTACTGTATATAATATCTTCTTAAAGGTTATATACCTACCTACAATATGACAATATTTTATTTTAATAATAATTTATTACAATATTGAAAACAATTAAATAACTTGAATTTTAGCAATACTTGTCTTGCCATGGTACTTTACCAACTGTAGTGAAATAATCAGCAAATGCATTTCTTATCCGCTGTGCCTCAGCCCCTGGTCTCCTAGGTACATTACGTAATGGTAATAATGATGTTATATCACCTCGGTCCTGTCTCCACGATCCTGGAATATCTGTTTCAGCAGTTTCCATGTCAAATGTACCTTGGGGAGTATATATTTTTTTAGAGGTGTTACTTTTCCTTAAAAAATTATGAAGTAAAGCACAAGCCAATGCTATATTTGAAACTTTATTGGGTTCAAGCAGCATGGGTTTTCTTAGAACTCTGAATACCGAAGACATAATTCCAAAAACATTCTCTACTACTCGTCTAGCTCTTGAAAGTCGATAATTGAAAGCCCTTTCAGCACGACCTCTCTCATATGTTCCTGAGTATGGTTTCATGATACGAGGACTAAAGGTAAAAGCATCATCTGCCACGAAAACATATGGAGTAGGTATTTCACTCGAAGGAAGCAGTTGATCAGGAGGTAGCATTAGATCATTTTCTTCAATTTTCTTAAATAAAGAAGTATTGCGAAAGACCCCTCCATCACTAATTCTTCCTTGACAACCAATATTTGCATATAAAAAACAATAGTTAGCATCAACCAAAGCCATAAGTACAACACTAAAAGTTCCTTTGTAGTTGATAAATTCAGATCCACTGTGTATAGGTGACTGAATAATTATGTGTTTACCATCTATTGATCCTACACACTGTGGAAAATTCCATTTTTCATCATACTCCTTAGATACTTTTGACCATTCTTCACAATTTGTTGGTATCTAGAACAGTAACATCAAAGTGAATAAACTAAAAAAATTACTACAATACTACCTAAATAATTTTCACAAATTGTTTATTTATATTTTATGTTACTCAAAGAAATTATAAAATGTAGATCAAAAAAAAAAATTGGTTGATTATCTATGAGGTTATTTAGGTACTTTTTAAGAATTATGATTTTCTACCTATTTTTTTTTTTAGAATATAATTTAAATATCCAAAAATTTAATAACAGCTTTTAAAAATGTCCAATATGTTTAATTTAAGAGTTAATATTATTTAGAATTTCAAAATATAAACCAACTTAGTTGTATAACTGACCTTATGTTATAATTATAAACAAAGTTTTTAAAACTGAGAAAAGTGAGTCTGATATTTTAATTTTGTTTAGGAATCAGAAGATATACTAATTCATGGTGAAGATAGTAGTAGTGAAATTGATAAAATTGATATTGATTCAACTGAAGAGAGAAATGATGGTATTACAAATCTTGAGGACAATTCAGAAAATTTAAATTCCCCTCTTGAAGTTTTTAAACGTCCTAGTGGAACAGAAAAAGTATCAAGAAAAAGGAAAGAATTAGCTGAAATGAAATCAATTCAAAGCCGTATGGATGATGCTTATTCAATTATGAAAAAGGTGTGTGAACAACCAAGTGAGGTTGCAGAAACAGATGAATGTATACTATATGCAAATTTACTGGCAGTAAAATTAAGATCATTGGATGAAAACACTCGAGGTATTCTGATGCATGATATAGATAATTTGTATTTTCATGCAAAATATAAGAAACAATCCACTGATCTCACCTCTATTAGTTATCACCAAAAACTTGGTAGTGGTAGCACTAATTCAAATCTTTCTATTAGCCCTACTATTGTTCCTATGCATTCTTCAACACATTTGTTTTCAAGACATCCTTCTCAGTTTTCTCCAGCAAGCTCATATGTGGTTCAACCTTCTCCAGCAAACACATATATAACTCAGCCTTCTCCAAAAATCTCATTTTCATCACAACATTCTCCAACAGATGGATATGAACCATCATCTCATTTAGTACACACATATCAGTCACAACATTCTCCAGCAAACTCATATATATCGCAGCCTTCTCCACAAATATTGAAAACATTACAACATTCTTCAACAGATGAATATGAACCACCATCGCATCCAATCTACACATATCTGTCACAACATTCTCCAACAAATTCACATGTACCTCAAGCTTCTCCAACAAACTCATATGCATCTCAACATTCTCCAGAAAATTCACATGTACCTCAAGCTTCTCCAACAAACTCATATGCATCTCAACATTCTCTACAAGATTAATTTTCATCACATAAAAAATAATTCTTATGAAGTTTGTAATATTAAAATTTGAATTATATTTGTTATCATTTTTATTATATAAGAAGTTAGAATTTTTTTTTTTAAGTTGGATTTTAATTTTTAAATTCTATAATTAATATCAAGGTTGATAATTTATGTTTTCATATTTTTAAAAAAAAGTTATTTTTAGTTTGACAAGGTGTTAAATTTTTTTTATGTTTTTTCTAAAGTGTAGAATATACTTAAATAATTTAAATAATTTTTGAGTTGCTTACCTTTATTTCATATTTAAGTATTTCAATCAATGCAATACAAGTCTCATGTACACATCTTGAAACGGTTTGAGATGATATCTTAAACAGAAAAGACAAACTTTTAAAGCTGTCTCCAGTAGCCAAAAATCTTAATGTTACAGCTAATCTTTCTTGTACTGGTATGGCTTTTCTCATAGTGGTATCAGTCTTCACTATCAATGGGCCTACTTTATTTATGAGGTATTCAAAGTCTGTTGCAGACATTCGACAAAAGTTTTCAAACTTTCCACTAGGTTCTCTTCGTAGATCTTCTAACATATCTGAACCATCATACCTGTGAGTTAGAGATTTTATACTTTTAACAAAACTGTCTTTTGAAACTATTTAAAATTTTTTTTTTTTAGAGTGGTAAATAATATAATTGAGTGGAATATTTGATAATAGCTTTAGTGTGAAAGGTAAGATTAATAACACTCCACCATTAAATATAAGGTCATGAACTCATGAGTCATGAGTCATGACAAATACACTTACCTCAATCGACTTTTATTGAGTGAAATCATCCACCATCTTCTCGTTTTACACTTTTTGTTTTTTTTATTGTCCATTATACTTTTTAATTTCTTAAATTCTTCACTCATAAGTAAAAATGATCCGCATACAACTATTTTCTTCTGTTCTAGATTCATTTCACCAAACAGTGAGTAATAAATAAAATAGACTAGAATAAAATAAGATTCCAAATTTGCGAACACAAAAAATTACAAAACGTTTAGTTATTTCCGATTGCAATTTTACGATTGATAAATGTTATCAAAATTAAGTTGTTCATCATTAATCTTTTGTCAAAAGTGGTCACTAGGCGCATGACGATCGCGAATAATTGAGCTTTTGACGAATATGAAACTCATCGTGGGATTGGTCTATTTGGCTATTCGTGTAACTTGCCGGTTATTCGAGTATTCGAGGATATTCGTCAAGTACACGAGTCGTGGGAATGGTCTACTTGGCTATTCGGATAGCTTGCCGATTATTCGAGTATTCGTGGATATTCGTCAAATACACGAGTCGTGGGATCCCGCCTTTATATAGGTAAGTATAAGTATAGTCATTAGTATTATATTAAAAAATAATAATATTATATCAGTATTACTATTAAATATTAATTATATAACTGTATGAAAGAAAATATAATATTTTTGGAAAATCTATTTTTAGTACACTTTAAAATACTCGACGATTTTGTCGAGTACTCGAATTTGACGAGTACTCGATTTTTTTTTAATATTCGGAATTTGACGAGTACTCGATTTTTTTTTTAATACTCGGCATTTGTCGAGTACTCGAATTTTGAACTCGACTTGACTCGACTCGAAATAAAAAAACAATACTCGTCCAACACTAGTCAAAACCATAGATATTATAAGAATGGATAGGACACGCCTATACTGGCTTCGTAAGAAGTTGCGGTCTTTTTTGGGGAAGAGAGAAAGTTCAATATCTACGAGAGAGATAGACTATAAGAGTGCTTTTTGAGGTTAGGTTACAAAATTGTAATATTATGAATAATGATTATTAAATTATAATATGCAATAAATTATAATTAAAATAATTAAACTGTTATTTCATATTCATAATTTTATTATTTGTTTTTGTTTTTTTAAATCGTATTAATATGTATCAATAATTAATGAACTCTTATAACCTCAAAAATGTTGTCACTTTATTCTGAGTTGATAATCCTGATATTCTATCCAGTCTTATAATATCTATGGTCAAAACTCATCGTTTATCTATTGTAAGTTTTCTGTAGTCTTGTAAATTATATAGACACTAGATAAAAAAAAAAAGTAAGCTCATATATTTGATAAAATTGTTTGTTTATTAACATAGCTCAGTAGGCATCTATTTGAAAAGGATGAAGCATAGTCAAATATTGTTGAAACTTATAATTTGCACCAAACATCAGGTACAAGAGCATTAGATGAAATCAAATATTTATTTGAACATTTAAGTAAAACGGCCAAAAGTGAAAATAAAAACGATAAGGTAAGACCATATATTACTTTATTAACTATCCTATCTCCCTCAAAATAACAATAGGTGATATACTGATATTATGTAATGTGTAAACCAGACTGCAGAGTATTCATAATATAACAATTGGCTTTTGACACTCAGTATAAGTTTCGATTTTCAATTACTAGCCATTAATTACAAATTTAATATTTCTGTCAACCCAAATTACTGTTAGGCAGACTATGCAGCATGAGTGACTGACTTAGATGTAAAGTGTATTAAAACTATGTTTATATTTGGATTACAGATTGAAAGATTTAAAACTGGCGGAGGACAATACAAAAAAAGTATGAACCACTTAAGTGAGCAAGTAATTGCAGTAATTGAAGACCCAATTACTTCATTATTAAATGCACATGATGATGATTATGGTTATGCTGGTTGGTCCGAGAAACTAACATTTAAATTATATAATACAAATAAAAATTAAGAAGGTTAAGTGGGTTAGACTCTGATTCTGAGCAAAGACCTATGATCAGCCAATATTAGTGAATAGTAAATATATGATAATATGTTATATTTATTTATATTGCTGTATTAAAGTAATTTTATCATTTACAGAAAATCTAAAATTAAAGGATTGTAGTATTTCAGAGACAGAATCAAAAATTATGAATACATACTATTGTATTAATTCCAAAATGGTTTAATGATTTAAATGAGTTTTTTTACATTTAAGATCCAATGAACGCTGATAGATGTATTCAGAATGAACAAGATTATGTGGAAATTGTTGAATTTGTAGATGGAGTAGAAGAAATCGATATAACAGTAGATAACTCACTTCCTCCTTCTCGTGACTTCAATTGGGGTAAATTTATTTAATTTATTTTTTACTACTGGGATTTACCTATGTGAAGATCTTATATATTTATGAATGTATTAACTTGCCTATCATTTGTTTAAGCTATGTTTAATACAGAACCTGAAACATCAACATTATCAAATAACAGTTACCAGTCACCAGCTATAAATGAGTCAAATCAAATAAAAACAACTTAAGATACTGCGGTTAAAAAAGTTTCATTACAAAAATCTGTCTGTGATGGTCTACAAGAATTGGCCAAAAAAAAATTAATAAAGTATGTGCTCAACAACAATTTTCACTAGATATCCAAGATTTAAAAATTAAAAAAGCTAAGACAGAACTAGAAGCAGCAGAAACCACATTAGAAATTGCCTTAAAAAAAATAGAATTTAATTCAAAAATAAGGCAAATAGAATTACAAGAAGACATTTTAAATTTGCAAAAACAAAAGCTATCCAAAAATTAGTTTTTAATGATTCTGTTGTTATTATTTAAACCTAAAGGAATTATGTTTTTCTTATTATTAAATATATTGCATTGTTCTTAATTAAACCTAAAGGAATTATGTTTATAATACTTTATAACACTTTATACATTTATATTATTATTATTACTTGAAAAGGAATTATGTTTTTTTTATGATAAAATTATCAGTATTTGTTATTAATTATTTATTTAATTAATTAAAGCCAGATGAACTATATTACAAAGTGGTAAAATCACAAAATGGTAAAATGTACAATATGTTACTTAGGTAATTAAAACTGAGGTAGTTCTGATTTATGGTCGCCCTTGGAAGGAACATATAATAGGGTTATAATAATAATATTGTTTTAAAAATTTTAAACTGAAAATGATTTTGTTGAAAACCGATTTTGCTTAAATATGTCCGTTTTTATTTGGTTATTTTTTTTTTGGTTTTTTCTTGCTTTTGAAAATTACTAGGAATTTGAAATGTTGACATCCTTAATTCACCAACTAGATTCACTTTTACAAGATACTGTTGAAGAAAATCGAAGCAGTTTTACTGCCCCGAACCGTGATGACAGACACAAAAATTTAAAAATAAAAAAAAAAAAATATATCATTGTAAAACCAATGAATCGTGGAAGAAAAGAACAAGGAAAAAAGACCAGAAAAATACCTAACGGAAAAAATGCCCACATTTTTTTGATATAGGTAGGACGTTTAGATAGTATCTCAACAACCAAGTAATGGAGTATTATATAAGGAGTTTCAATCAGTGGCGTGGCGAAGGTATTATTTTGGATAATAATATGGTTATTGGTGAATTATTTATAGAAAACAGAGCGAGTGCTTTTTATCGTATTTGATTAAATTCTATAAATATTTTTAATCGATATTCAATGGTAATAATCTGCTCGTAGTCCGTACTGCTGTCTGCTGTATATCCAATATACCAGACATTCCAGTGCGAGACGCGAGTGTGCGACTACGACATTTTCTCATTCTCATAAAGTCATAACACATCAATTATAATTTTGAAGTATTGTGACTTGTGACCACTTTGGTTTTCTAAAGTTTTATTTAATTTGATTTAATCATGTCTGACGACGAAGCATGTTTATGTGGTAAAAAAAAAAAATAACATAAATCCGGCGAATTGGAAAAGGCATTTAAATGCGTGCAAAACGATAAAAGAAAAAAATTCATCTTCAAAATATCTAAATACATATTTTAAAAGATTTTTGAAGACTTCTAGTTCTACTGAGCCTGATGCTAAAAAAAAATAAAAATAAATATTTCATTCTACAATTATAATGTTAAATTTAGTTGAAAAACTTCAAGAAAATCCCAAAACAAAAATTAATGTAAATATTGTTTATAGAAAAAAACAAGCAAGGTTGTTACTTGTTATTTAGTTACTTATATTTTCAACTTTAAAATAATATTAAAATAAAATAATATTTAATATTATATATGGTTCTCTACTCTAGCATAGTTAATGTAAATAAAGACTGGTCGGAAGTTGCTATGTTAAAAAGGAATGTTTTGGAATTAAAAAAAAATTGCTAGAAGAAGAACTAGTTTTCAAAAGAAAAGAAAACGCATTAAAGTTGGAAATAATGAGTGTTGAATTGACTGTATTAAAAAAAAAAAATCTATAATCCAACTATAATTATACCATTTTATATTGATAAATGATAATAAAAATAAAAGACTTCTGTTTAATTTAGTTATGTTTAATATTTAATTAAAAATAAAATTGAAATTTTTTATGTGTGTTTAGTAAATTTGTTAATTAAAAATCATTTAATGTAATGTAATAATTTAGTTATTTTTCATTACCTATGTTAAATATTTTATCAAAAAGAAAAGACTCTTTATGTTACTGGTACTGAACTGGTACTACAAATAAAACAAGATTCCTATTTATTATTTTTAATAGTTTTATCTAATAATTATAATGTATTGTTTTTTATAATTAACACGAGCTACAAATTGGTGCATACTTATCTTGCCCTCTCTCACGAGGACGAGTACCGATGGTGGATATCCTGTCCAGGTTAATGATACATCTTCAATTTATGTATCACCTATACCAGGGGCGGCCAAACGGTCGATCGAGGACAATTTCCAAGCCGATCATGTTAGAATTTATTTTTAGGGACACGCGCACGAATTGTTATCGAATTGTCGATAAGTTTTATCTTTTATCTGTTTAATTTTAATCTGGTTTCGTGTGTCAAATGTCTATCGGTCACGAATGTTCATTTCACTGTGTTCTGTTGTTCTGTGTTCTGTTGGTGTCTGTTGTGTTTAAAATTTATAATTATGAGTGCACATAAAAAACAAAAAACTTATCATTTTATTAATGGGAAATGGATTTTTTTTTACAATGTTGAAAGACAAGTTATTTTTCACTTCAATTCGATGAATCAACAGACATAACAGATACCGCTCAACTATGTATATTTATACGACTAGTTTTTTCAAATTTAAATTCAAAAGAAGAATTATTAACTATAATCTCTATGAAAAGTACAACACGAGGTGTGGATATTTATCAAGCTTTTATTAATTTTGTCAATAAATCAAATTTACCTTTGTATAAATTAGTTTGTATTACGACTGATGGGGCTCCAGCTATGATAGGTAAAAATAATGGTTTTATTGCTTTGTGTAAGAATGATAATAATTTTCCAAATCGTATAACGTTCCATTGTGTGATACATCAACAAGCATTGTGTGGAAAAATATTGAATACGAGTATTATAATGGACATTGCTTTTAAAATAGCCAATTCTATACGTTCACGAAGCTTGCAAAGGCGGCTTTTTAAATTACAATTAGAAGAAAACGATTCTCAGTATTGTGATTTATTACTGCATACGGATGTTAGATGGTTGAGCCGTGGTAAATTTCTAGAAAGGTTTCAATGTTTACTTCCTGAAATAATAGAGTTTTTAAAATCCAGAGGTGATAATTATGATTGTTTAACAAACAATACATGGCTTCAGAACTTAGCTTTTTTAACAGATATAACGGCTCATTAAACACTTTAAATGTTGAACTTCAAGGAAAAGATTGAAATAATTGAGTTATTGAGTTCTATAAATGGGTTTAAATCAAAATTGATATTACTCAAGTCACAATTAAATGAATCTAATTTGAATAATTTTCCAAACTTAAAAGATTTTTTTGAAAAGCAAAAATGTACAGTGGCAGTGGAAATATATTGCTCTGAGGTTGAAAAAGTGTACAATGAATTTGAAAGACGATTTAAAGATATTCAAAAATTAGAGCCGATTATTACATTTATGTCTTTTCCTTTCTCCGAAACAAACATTATTGAAAATATTTCTACACAAATAAGCAATTTGTTTGATATGGATTCTACAAAATTTGAATCTGAAATTATAAAAATTAAATCAGTTATATTCCTCAAAGCTCGAGGTTCTGAAACAAATTTTTGGAATTTACTGAGTGAAGAAAAATATCCGGGTTTGAGGAATGTAGCTTTGCAGTTACATAGTTATTTTGGATCTATATATTTGTGCGAACAACATTTTCTCACATGAAAATGATAAAAACAGAATTTCGATCTACGCTCTCTGATGACCATTTGGAGCAGTGTCTTCGATTAGCAGTTAGCAACTATTCGCCAGATTACTACCAATTGGTCAACGACATGCAATGTCACACTTCAACAATGGCCAGATCAACAAAATAATATGTTAATTAAACTTATCTAATTAGATTTTAAAAATTATTATTTATTATTATATTATTTTTAGTAATTAGTAATTAGTTAATAATACTTATTGTATGTTTATATGCACTTATTCAATAATAAAAAAATTTTCTATAAAAGTCGATCCTCAAAGGTGAAGTATATTTTTAGTAGATCGTGACCAAAAAAAGTTTGGCCGAGCCTGACCTATACTAATGTTATGAAATATATTTATTATTTACAGGCATCAAAGAAAATTATGGTATCTTTAACAAAGATAATGTGTCTTCACCCAAATGTACTTCAAACACCGATCCTCCAGAAGAAAAAAAAACAAAAAAAGAATCCAAGTATCCACGAAGCAACAATTCAAAAAAGACACGAAGAAAAAATGGCCATGTCTCAACTTGCACTTATATATACATACATATAAAACATATATGGATAAACTACTGGAAAATGTGTGATCCAAGATTAATTCTTTTATAATGTTTTACTACAGAGGATAGAACTCAATTAAGGTAAATTGTATGTACTATATGTCTGTATTTTATTTTATTTGTTAATACTTTAAAGATTTAAGTATTTTATTATTATTATTAAGATAATACTATTACACAATGTGATATTACTTAATTTGTTCAAAGTTGTTATTAATAAAATTATAAAAAATATTTATGTTTAAATTGCATATATAATATTATATATTAACCATATAAAAATCAACATAATCTTTATATATTTATATCTGATACAAATATCAGCTGTATTATTAAACATTGTAAAGTTCACACATTGTATCTCGTTTTAATTTTCCATCAGTGCGGTGGTGATCTTCTGATGATTCTCTTGCAGGATTTGGACATTCAGTTCTTTGGTGTCTCAAAAAATTCATCCCTCCTTCAATATAGTCATTTATATTAGCATCTGATTTGTTTTTTAAACACAAATTATGTAATACACATGTTGCCAAAACTATAGATGGGATTAAGTCTGTTCTTGACATATCTAGGTATTTAAACCGTCTAAATCTACCAAAAAATAACGCGAATGAACGTTCTACAGTTTGTCTAGTTCTGGATATATTAAAGTTGAAGTTTTTTTGAGCTTCTGTCAGACGATCTCTGTTTATGTATGGTTCAACATACCATGTAAGTGGAGGATATGCTTGTTGAAATATACAATTAATATGTAGTATATGTAGTCAGCCTTGACACGTGTGTACAATTTAGTAACTAGTTATATACGAGCATAAGACTCACTCTCTTTACGGATGTAACATGACCTCGGTCATGCATATATATAGGGCCTTTGATGTATGTAATACTCACTTGCACAGGCGTCGTCGTACAGAGCGTATACGATGTGTGTGCACTGTCACGGTTTAATTGTCGAGTTGTACGTTATTATATATTATACTTATACATAATCATATTGTCGTGTTATTACTTATTATATTAATGCTAACATCATTAGTCCGTCAAGCTTCACTTTCAACAATGCTTTATCGCCTAAGATATGTTCATCATTTGGAAAATAAAATTTTTAATTTTTCATAATATTTACAAATATGTCTGAATTTCGAAAGATACGAGTGTCACTCACAGAACCCGGATAGCCAACAAAAACATCGGTAAATTTTAATTCAGCGTTTGTGATTGCTTGCAAGGTAATTTCATAATTTCATTTTCGTGTAAAATATACTTCTGCATCTTGTTTTGGCAGCTCCAATAACATTTGTAATACTTGCCATGCGAAAAAACAACTCTTTTTGCCGTTCCAACTCTTCTCCGTGTGGCCAAATAATGACATTAGAAGCATTCATTATTATTAAATTGATAACTCCGAAAAATGATACTGACAGTGATGATTTACTCATATCAAACTTTTCTCCGACTGAATATTAAACATAAAAAAAATAAAGAGTACAAATCTGATTTTAATGAAATTTTACATAATAGTTATAAAAAAGTACTTCAAACCACAAAAATAATTTTTTAACTCAAACTTCCGAAGTATATACAATATAACTTATAAAGTTATAAATATATTCTTAAAAAACAAACATTTAAAAATAATCTATACAATTTTTGTTAGTAAGTTTAGTCAGTTTAGTCAGTTTAGTATATATTTTGGGTTGTATAAGCAATTCTTTATTCTGTATATTATTATATTAATTTTTATTGAATAGAACTAACTCATAAAATCAGATGATAAACAGGGACGGGCTCCTACCCATACTTATGAATGTAGCCAGCAGCCACCTTGGAGGAGGGCACCAATACCACCACGGAGGCACGGGTACGGCAGATGTTCACGGCGCAGCTCCAGCGGGACCCAGTACTGTGGGCCACCTACACGCGGGGATGGGAAGACCGCACAGCAGTGTTCCGGAGAGCGACAAGCGGCGAACCCACAACCACCGTGAGGCACAACAGGTCCCGTAGCCCCAGACGGATGGCACGACCGGCGGCCACAACCCGGCCGGTGCCACCTATGTCGTCAACACGGGCATCCGAGAGGCTACCACCCCGACCGCTGATGAAGAGGCCGGTATCGGCGCCAAGAACAGCGACCAGGCCACCACCAACAACCGCCTCCAACCCGCCGCCACCCCCGACACCAAGGACCACCTCACCGACAACACCACCTGCCAAAGAAACCGCCCGCCAGCGCCGGAACAAACAGCGGATGCGGGCCTACAAAGATAAGATGACGTCCCAACAACACCGCCTAGAAAAACCGGCACCGCCCGTAACCCCATCCCCAGAGACATCACAGCCAGGGCCTGCTGGCCACTGTGCCGGAAGTGACGAATACTACCGGAGCAACCGGAACCACGGAACAACTAACAGCCGCTACCTCCCTAATCGTGGATATGGAAATATCCCTGGAAGAGAACTGTTAGGAGGTACGGACGCACACCTGGCTGACGGCGAGGACATGGACGTCAGTCTTATTTACTTCAGCCCCCCTTCACGTCGCCCAAACATGATTAGACGCCATCAGGGCCACGTCCGCTGAACACAGCCGGAAAACGTGCCCGCGGACAGGTGTCTAATACAACCACCCTCCACACATGACACACTACAACACCGGCAACGGCCGGAACACCAACGCCGTTGGCGGTTGGGGGGGGGGGAGTATGACGCGGTCCCGCGTAATGGCAGCTTGAATTCAAACAGCCTTTACGCGGAAGCCGCGCTGTGGCTTCTCAAACAAACCGCCAATCGACGACGGACGACGCCAGCGCGCGACACCCGCGCCTTGAACCGTCGGCCGGCCGTTCAGCGAACCGGCTTGTAAAAGTCACTTGTTTTTCTCAGCGACCCGGACACGGACCTCGTCACGCACGTCCCCGCGAGTTTAAGACAACCATATCGATACCGTTTCTCAATCTATTGAATGTTTTTTTTCACCACTAATAAAAACTGAATTACACCAGTGCGTCGTCTTGTTGTGTTTTCTTTTTTGTTTTTTTTTTTTATCCTGTCTTTTTTGGTTACCTACCTTTACCCTCCATCCACGCGGCACCCCACAGGTCCGCATCAAGTCTTTGTTGAAGAACTAATTCCGACTTTAACCCCTTTTATAAAAATCCCCAACACATTAGCAGGAATAAGTATACAAAAAAAGGTCTATACATATTAAGTTATTTAAGTATTTGCATTACCGACCTATTAGTCATTAGTCATTACCATATACAAATTATAATATTTATTTACTTACGGCTTTACGATTTTATGCTAGTGGAAGTTATCAGCAAGCCATCTGTGAACATAGAGGTTCAGCGCTTAGTCAAGCGTCTGTCAGTAGATGTCTTTATGAAGTAACTGATTCTTTAAATAATCCCCAAATTTTAAATAAATATATTCATTTTCCAAGGAATACAAATGAACTAAATGTGGTTCTACGAGGGCGAGTTACTCAGAAAGGGTGATAATATTGACTTATAGTGATTAATTTTAGTAACTAAATTATTAGATTTTATGAGAAATTTTCTATTCCTGGAGTTATTAGAGCTATTAATGTGACACATATAGCAATCTTTCCTCCTAAATCTGGAGATGAAATTTATCCAGAACATATTTATGTTAACAGAAAAGGTTATCATAGTATTAATACCCAACTTGTAAGTTTTAAAATATAGGTACACCTATAATAAATAGATAAGTACATTTTAGAAAGAAATGTTTTATTATTTCATCTATTACTAGTATTATTTATTATAGAAGTATGCATACTATATTACTATGTATACCTATATTATATATACCTATTTTTACTCTTGCAGATATGTGATTCAAACTTAAAAATCTTAAATGTGTGTTCAAGATTTCCAGGAAGTGTTCATGATAGTTACATCTGGCGTTTAAGTCCGATAAATGATTTATTAAAACATTTACATTCAGTAGGACTAACATCTTACTTTTTACTTGGTAATTCGGGGTATGGACTAAAACCATGGTTAATGACTCCATTTGAACCATTGAACCATAGGCAAATAGTCCTGAAGCGAGTATAATGAATGGTTTTGTAAAAGTTAATCAATTATTGAACGCTGCAAAGGGGTTTGAAAATGCGATTTAGGTGTCTTTTGAAACACAGAGTCCTTCACTACTCACCAGAAATGGCTGGAAGCATTATAAGTGCTTGTGTAATATTACATAATATTTGTATATCCAATAACTTGCCATTAGTCAATATTAACGAAACTGATAAAATTGATTTTGATTTACCACCAAACAATATTGTTAACCCAATAAATGCAGAATTAACTGAAGGAAAACGGTACCAACAACAAATTATTAACAGATATTTTCAATAAACAGCAATTTTTTTTTCATTATATATGTAACATCTTAAAAGTAAATAAAATCATTCTAAAAAATCACTGTTTGTAACACTTAAGTCTTAAATATTTCACATTTTCAATAACAACTTGTCTCTATTTAACATAATTAATATAATTTAAAAGAGCGTATATATATATATATATT